CCCAACTCCACACCTCCTGCCCTCCCAAAGGAACACTCCTAACAGCCACTGAAATCGCCAGTGTCTCGTGGGCACTGACTTACCCCACTTTGGCTCTAAGTTTCAGATAAATGCTCTGTGTTCTTTACACTCTCGCCCCTTGCTACTCAAAGTGTGGTCCGTGGACCAGCAGCCTTGACACCACCTTGGAGCTTGTTAGAAATGCATACTCTTGTCTCACCCAGGCCTGCTAGGTCAAGTCTGCATTTTAACAAGATTCTGAGGTAATTCATAAGCACCTTAAGGTTTGAAAAGCAAAAGATCAGTGTTTCTCAAAGTGTGGGCCTGATGGCAAAAGTGGCATCATCTGGAACCTTGTAGAAAATTCACATTCTTGGGCCCCACCCCACACCTCCTAAATCAGAAGCCCTTGGGTTTGGTCCAGCAATCTGTTCTAGCAAACCCGCCAGATGATCCTCGCGTGTACGGATGATTGAGAACCATGCTCTAGGTCAGTGGTTGTCTCAGCCAGCTGGGGAGCTCTGACAACTCCCCATGCTTAAAGGGCACCCCTAATAAACTACCTCAGAATCTCAGGGCTTCCGGCCAAGGAGTCAGTGTTCTTAAACCTTTCCAGGTGATTCCAATGTGAAGTCAAAGGTGAAGATCTCTGCTCTGTCTTGAACAATGCTTCTCACACCTGGCTTCACATCAGAATCACCTGAAGGCGTGTTTTTTTAAAAAAAAAAATACTGATGCTCAAGATCTCATTCAGAGTTGTAAATTGGTCTGGATGAAGCTGAGAATCACTTTTTTTTTAATTTTAGTTTCTCATATCCAGCCAGGATTTCAAACCACTGCTCTAGAAACATCATTTTCCCCCACATAAACTTAAAGTCATACTAAAGAGAATAAGTTTGCAAGTAATGGAAAAGATGCCTTTTCCCATTCCCATATATTTACTGAGTCTGTGATTAAATATAAGTGGAAAGCATAGTACCTGCCCATAAGAGAATATAATGTGTATTGGCAGAAAAGACTACACATTTTATATATAAATAATTATTCTAAAGTAATATATTCTATGCTATTGACTATAATATATTTTTTGAAAGTTGCATATATCATTATATCACTGTCAGGTCAAACTAACTTTTAGCTTTTTTAAAACAAGTAAAGATGAAAGAAAAATGTTAGAAATGGTTATGAAACAATTTTGAATACAGTTAGCAATCAGCCCTTAGATAGCTGAACCTGGAGAAAGCAATGGACAAGGTCAATGGCCAAAGAATGATTCATGAGCTTAAAGACTGAGCAAGCATAAGATGCTTTAAAGTCTCCTCCTTGGCACAATGAGAACTATGCTATGGAATCACTGACCACTCAACCCAACAGCACTTAGTAAATTAAGTTATCACTACTAAAATAATTAGCAATTAAGATATCAGCAATTAAAGAACTTATAATAAATATTTTTCCCCTTTTATTATTAGAAATACAACTTTTTGGCCTGACTATATGCCTCTCCGCTTCTCTTGAGAACACATTTGGAAATAATGAGAGATCATCGTCTGGGAGAAATAACCAGCTATAAACGTTGTCACATATATTGGACTATCACATTTATTTCTGATTTTAAATGAGCAGTCAGAATTCAAAATTTCACATGTTTTATGAAACAAAAAAGCACATCAAACATCTATAACTGGGCCAAATTGTTGAAAACTCTGAATTCAGCTATTTGTTTTCATGATTCAGCTAATACACCACACCCCTCCTGGTCCGGTTGGTTACAGAGGCGAGGGCGTGACCTAAGCTTTAAGACTATGAAAGGGTTTCCTTTTCTTTCTTTAAATTTGAGGATCCAATTGGCTTTATTCAGCGATTCATGCGCAGCAGCCACGGAGCAACCGAAAGGTGCCCCCTCAAAACAAGTCTCTGAACCAAGACAATAGTCACAAAGGTTCACCCCATCGGAAAGCACAGGTTAAAACAGGTCACGGCGCCTTCGGTGGTGCCAAGTTGGATCTGGACTCTGTCCGAGGGAATCCCCACTTAATGCGACCACCTCCCCTTCGTATTTGAAAACGACCCCGCCGTAGGTGACGACGTCAAGCGGGACCCACAAGGGCGGCGGGCACCCGGAGCCGCGCTACCCCGCGCCCAGGGACACGCTGGGG